CAACGCTAACCCAACTCTCTTATTTCCAGCATTTCCATTTGAGCGGTTCCATTAAAAAACGCTAGGTCCTAGCCTCTAGGGCTGAACAACTATTTACTAAACAACGTTTTCCAAACACTACTTTTTGTTACTAAAACACTATTTTCCAAACACCCCCAAAGGCAACAGGCCTGCTGATTATTATTTAGTACAAACACCCCCAACTAGCACAACATTATTAAAACCAACACAAAATTTTAATACTAATAGTACTTTATAATGGAGTACTTTCTGTTATGTCTAATAACAGTGCACAATTTAATTTAGGTTTTTGTAAATACAAAAAAAAAAGAATGACACTCCATCCTTGAGGGTCCCCAACACCAATCAGACAGTTAATTGGGAGGATGTAAATTGGACTTTAATCTAAGGTTGACAGACAACGAGTGAAGCTCTAGTTCAGGTACTTGCAGAGGATCTATACATTTTTACATAATAATCTTTCGTCACAATTGTCGAGATTCGAACCTAAGACTTACCATTAGTGCACCATCCCTATCTACTAGTTGAGTTACGATCATCGACACGTATTTGTAAATACAATGCTTTGATGTAGTTCACTACTAAGTGTACAAATGTTTCAGAAGAATATATTTCCAATATTTAATTAATGTAGTTCGGAACGTTAACGAAATTTTGGTTTGGATGAATCACTGAAGAAATATGGCCGAGAGAGATAGATTATGAATTTAGTGGTCTATTGCGTGGGGTATCCAAAGTCCATACAAATGATAGAGATGGGTAGATTATAAATTTAATGGCACACGAAACTAAAGAACAGTTTGACCAAATTAGTTGAGAATTTGGACTTTGAATTTGGAATGAGACTTTCCATACCTATGTCCAAAATTAGCAAGTTGTATGAGCCTATGAGCTACTATTGTATGGCTCATGAAAGAAACATGCACATTATTACACGAATGCAATATTTGTGATTTTTTCAACCTTAATACATTATTTTTATAGCCATTTTAAAGAATATACTAAATAGTAAAAATTGATATTGTTTTGAAGTACAAATTTAGAGGCCGTTTGACAACACTGTTTTTCGGCTTATCAACCAATTTTTTCACCACACACGTAATTTTTGTTTTTGCGCACTGAATTGAGTAATAAGCAGAAAAGTAAGGTTGAAGTTACTTTTCTGGTCGTATTTTCTGAATTTAGTGCAGATGACCATTTTAACTATTTTTACATACTCCCTCCGGTTTTATTTAATCTTCACACTTTGACTTCACACAAAATAAGGAAAGAAATTTGACTTTACTGTAGAGTACACTGTTGAGGCACTGTTTGACACTGTTTGGCACTGTAGAGACACTGTTTGGCACTGTTGAGACACTGTTTCGCACTGTTTGGCACTGTTTTGATGTAGATTTCTTTGCCAAAAAAGGAAATAAGGAAGTGTGAAGTTTATTTTAGACTGTCCCAAAAAGGAAAGTGTGAAGTTTATTAAAAACCGAAGGGAGTATAATTTTTCTTTATTTTATTAATAAAATATATTTTAAAAATAATTTTTTCTTAAATCAGCAGAATCAGCCAATGCAGTCACTTCAGCCAGAACTTCATAAATTTCAGCAGAATCAGCCAAATCAGCCGATTTTCGTGCTATCAAACGGGCTCTTAATTATTTGGTGATTGTCAATTCATTTTCAATTTTTCATTCTCAAACTGATTCTATGAACACTACCAAAGTTCGGGCCCAATTAGTCGGAGAGAAACTCTTGCCCAATTCCTAGCACATAAAATCTTACCCAATTTCCAAGCACTGGTAGTATTCTTGCGGTTGATGGACGATTGGAAAAGAAGCGGACATGTAATAGTGGATTCAAACACCGAACGTGCTTTCCAAGGCTGAATATACGAAGTACTAATTTAGAGGGTAATTTGGCACTGTTTGACACTGTTTTGCATTATTTGGTACTGTTTTGATGTAGATAATTTCCATTTAAGGAAATGAGAACTTAAATTAGGGACATCGAAATAAGGAAAGTGGGGACTTCTTTCAGGGACGGAGGGAGTATATGTACAAATACTTATTCTTTAAGTTCATAAATTTAGCTTAAGAAAACTAAAAAGAAACTAATAAATCACTTTTACACACAGTATTCTAAGGATTCCTAATTGGATGACTATTTTCACTAATACATTTTCGGATCTTTTGTAACAGACTAACAGCAGAATTCGTGACATTTAGTCCCAAAAACCGTTACATTGAACTTAATGTCATAGTTTCTCGTTGTTACATTCGCTCGCGTTGCATTTTCTCTAATGTAATGGCTTGTAACGAAATTTACGTTCAACTGTAATGGTCTTGACAACACATCATAAGTGTTACAATAGATTGAGCACAAATGTAACGGTTCTAAATATAATTTGTGTAGTGTTTATATTTTCTAATTTTTTGAGTTATTTTTTAAATATTAGTCAAATAAAATTTGTTGATAAAAATATGACTAAAATTATTGTGATCATACATTTATGGTCACATATACACTACAAAAAAACACGCCTTTAGTCACGGACGTTAGTCACGGATTTCGTCCGTGACTAGCCTAGTCACGGGCTAGTCACGGACTAGTCACGGATTTTTGAAAAAAAATTAGTCATGGATTTGGCCGTGACTAAGTCCGTGACTACATAAATCCGTGACTACGAGCCGTGACTAAAGTCCTCCGGTTGCCCCAACTCCGTCGCCGGTAAGTCCGTTTTTATTCCGGCGACTTAGTCACGGACTTATCCGTGACTAGGTCCGCGACTAAAAAAATTAAATTTCCAGCGCTCAAAATTAATTTCTCAAAATTTAGTCACGGAAAATTCAGTGACTAGGTCCGTGACTAGGTTTTTATATAACTGAACCACACCAATTCATTCCATGTATATATAATACAATATATGTTTGAAAGATCGAAGGATGTAGTTCATCTTATGTCATTTTCCCTGTTTATGCAGATAATAAGGTATGTTATTTGAATTCTTTTTATTTAGAATTAGTTGATTCAATTTAAAATTGGTTAGCTAAGCGTAGTTTTAAACGTAGTGCATTAAGTTAAATTAAGTAAAATTAGTTAGCTAAACGTAGGTATTAAATAATTAAGTTAAATTAATTAGTTAAGTTAGTGTAGCTTTTGATAATATTAGTTAAATTTAAATACTAGTTAATTGTAATGTGTAGAAAAAAGGTTGGTAATTAATTAATGAATTGAATTAGTTAAAATTAGTTAAACGTAGGATTAATTTAAATGTAGTGTTAAATTACTTAATTTTTTAATAATATTAGTTAAATTTAAGTATTAGTTAATTCAAATGGGTGTATATATGTGTGTGTGTGTGTATGTATATATATATATATATATATATATATATATATGTATATGTATATATATATATGTATATATATGTATATATATATATGTATATATATATATATGTATATATATATAGATTTTGGTTCAGGTGAGAAATGCATCTAATGTGAGAAATGAGAATGAATCTCAGCCATTGAATTTACGAAGTTGCACTAAACTTGGCTTTATGTTGCAGTAATATTTAAATTTTGCACATATTGCACTAAAACTGTTTCATGTTGCACTAATATTTGACGGCGTTGCACCGAAATAGCTTCATGTTGCACTAGACACGTGTAATACGGATTTTTCAGAAGTATTTACAGAAATGCCACCGTGCTAGATTGTATATTTCAGTGCATCATGAAATGTCTTTTACTGCAACTTAGTCGAATCCAATGGCTGAGATTCATTCTCATTTCTCACCCAAAGGGTTCTTCTCACTTGAACCTTACCCTATATATATACACACACACACACACATATATATATAAGGGAATGATCAAGTACAAATTCTGCTTATTGTGCAAATGTTTGTACGATGCACCTTGACGTTGTTTGCATTGCATATTAAGGTTCAAAGTGTTGCATATTATATAGTCATAAAATAGCAGTTGCACATTAACGTTCAACGAGTTGCACCCTAGAAGAGTTAGGTTTTATTACAAAAATGCCACCTTGCCTTTATATCCTTTAGATCAATTCATCGGATGGCCAAGATAAGTTTGTACTTTGTAAATTAAACATGGTTTGTATTTGATCTCTATTATATATATATATATATATATATAGAGGAATGATCCTCTCCAGCCGGAGGGACAGGATCTTCCGTCCGGCCGCCGCCGTTTGGGGCGGTTCCCGGTGGAGTTTGTTTATGAATTTTTTATGGAATGTTCCTCATCAAGTCTAGTTTATCCACAAAAAATTTCAGCTAAAACTTCGATCGGAAAGGCAGTCAAATAATTTTTTGAAGATAACTGCTCCAACTTAAACATATAAAACGCAGTTATATTTCAAAAAATTATTTGACTGCCTTCCCGATCGAATTTTTAGCTGAAAGTTTTTGTGGATAAACTAGACTTGATGAGGAACATTCCATAAAAATTTCATCAAAAAAATCCACCGGGAACCGCCCTAAACGGCGGCGGCCGGACGGAGGATCCTGTCCCTCCGGCTGGACAGGATCTTTTCCGTATATATATATATATATATATATATATATATATATATATATATATATATATATATATATATGCTCAAATTATTAGATTTTATTATTAGCAATTAATGTTAATGCCTAAATTAGGATTTGTAATGGGTTAAGTTTTGATGAAAACATTTCTTAGTTTTTGTGAATTGTTATTGTGAATTATTTGAAGTTCATTTAGTGAAATTTAATAAATAAATGTTTGTAAACATATCAAATTATTAGTAGATATAGTAATTTAATAATATTAATTGAACGTTATGTAATTGTAGTGCATTGAACTTTAGTAAAATTGAATATATTAATGCTCCTACGTATGAATTAGTGAAAATATTTAACATAACAAATTGTTGATAATGTTTATGATTTAAAGTTTTTAACCAATATATTTTTTATTCTTATAATATTCAGGCATAATGTATAAGCAAAATAGAAGTTGGATGTATGATAAAAAAGCGGTATTGTACGGAATGCAATCAAATTTCCTCGAGGGATGTGGGGAGTTTATTAAATTTGCACTTGAACACCCGGATTATATGAGTGGTGACAAAATCAGATGTCTATGTTCAAAGTGTAGAAATCTCAAATTTAAAGACCCAGAGGATGTTAGGTGGGATTTGTACGCGGAAGGTTTCGTTTCCAATTATTATAATTGGACTTGTCATGGCGAACCTTTGGATCCATCTCTCGCTCCACGAATAGTAGGTTCGTCTCGTAACGTCCCTAACGAGATGAGTGGGTGGGGAGACCGTGATGAAATGAGGTGGGACCAAATAATGGTATATGATGCATACGGTCCATCGATGTCTGAGTTCAACCCCCCACAACCATGTAACGATCCTCCTGAAGCCTCGACATCGTATCAAGCAGATGCGAATGAAAATCCGATATTTTATCAATCTTATGTGGATGAAGGTTTAGCTGAGAGATTTCAAGGTGTTTTAAAAGCTGTCGATCAGCCTCTGTATGTTGATTGTGAGGCATACTCTCAGCTATCCGCCGTTACAGAGTTTATGAACATAAAAGCTGAATACAATCTCCCTGAAACTTGCATGTCCAGAGTTTTGCAGTCAGTAGGAGGAATGCTACCGTGTGATCATAGTCTCCCCGATTCATAATATATTACGAGATGAAGCAATTAATATCTAAATTGGGGCTTCCTTGTATCATAACCGATGGTATAGATAATATTTTATGAAGTACCATGTTGTGTAACTTATTTCGAGGTGTAAAATATTTTCAGCCAAAACTTTATAAATATCAGCAGAAACAGCCGATTCAGCCAATTCTAGTGTTACCAAATGGGCTCTAAGATTATCTCATGTTTACTATCTGGTAAAGTGTGTGGTTCACTACAAGAAAAGTGCACATAGACCGCACATAGACCAATTTTTTTTCGACGCACGTAAAACTGACGTGGCGACGCACGTAAAACTGACGCAAAACTGTCGTAAATGTGTCTCCTTATGTTTTTACGACAGTTTTGCGACAGTTTTACGTGCGTTGGCACAACAGCTGTGGTAAAAACATTGGCCACTGTTAAAAACTGTCGTCTCTGATCATTTACCACATTTTTGTGTGTGGTAAATAAAAAATGTGTGGTTAATGGTGTTTTTAACGACAGTTATGCTGCCATCGCAAAAACAATTGTGGTCCATGTGCAGTCTATGTGCACCTTTTTTGTAGTGGTTGTAAATTATGCTTACTTTATTTTTACTTTATCAATTCAATATGAACTACCTACATTCACTTTTCTTAATAATCGCAACACATTTTCGTGTCCCGATGTTAATGGGACGGAGGTACAAAGTACGTAGTACTCCCTCCGTCCCGAATTATAAGATACTTTTCGGTTTACGATGTTTGACCGATGATAAAGCAAACGGATCCCTGTCCGCACTCAAATTATTTTTAGAAAAAAAAAATACATATTCTGAAACGTTATTAAACCCGCTACAAAACCAATTCAAACTAACTCAAGTTTTGATGTATAAAGTAAGAGATTAAGTGTGATTTGTGTTGACCAAGTAAATAGTAAATATATCTTATAAAATGGGACAAAGGTGAATTGTTGTAGACATTTTTTTTAAATTGTAGTGATTAAAATACTTATAACATTGATTAAAATAGTACGTGGTGACTGATGGAATAATAGTTGTGGTGCCTATTATATTAGGCGACGATCATTTGGGATAAAAAATTAATGAGTGGAGTCCATGTCCATGTGAAATTAAAATTAATGCTGCATAAGTACTACGTATTTTATAATAATAGAAGTTTCCAACTGGTATGAAATACTTTTTTACTGTGAAATGTAGCTTGGAGTTTGAGAAAAATAGTCTTAATCTTGATTTTTTTTAATCTCAAGGTTGACTCTTGGAAGCTTTGATTGTAGTGTTGACCTTTGGTGTTGGAGTTTTGGACTTTGAACTTTGAAGTGGCTCAAAAACTAGCTCTTAAAGAAGGTAGATGGAAAAGATGATCTTCTCAAGTATAGGAGAAAAAGGAATCTTTTAAACTTTCCCACACCTAAACTCCTTGGGAACTTTTGAGCCTATAAATATGAACCACTCTTCACTTAATATTAAAAGGTGAATGAGAAGAGGGGAGCTCTCGCGCACACAAGAATTCCGACTTCTAGTTCAGAATCGAAAATTCGCACCCCCCCCCCCCTGCGCGGGCGACCTACGGGCACGATAGTCGTAAAATTCAGCCAGTTTCAAAAGACAATTTTGCCCCTCTTTTTTTTTTAAGCTTAACCCGGTTTTTTTTAAACATTCTTCTGCCCGAGGAGCTGACAGGCCGAATAAAAAACAGTAGCCACGGTCAAATCCGTGACTACGGCCGTGACTAATTCAAAAATTTGAATTAGTCACGGCCTTAGTCACGGATTTGACCGTGACAACTCCGGTCAATGACGGCGCCGACACTTTGTCTACCGCGTGTCTGACTACGTTAACTACGACGGTGTAGTCACGGATATATCCGTGACTACGCCCTTATATATAAGTAACACTTAGCGAATTTTTCATTCCACTCTTCAAAACCCTAAAACTCTCCCTCTCCCTTTACTTCTTCTCTCTGTCCGCCAATCCCTTCGACCTCCACCGTCCATCGCCACCGTTCGCCGCCGCTCTCCGGTATCTACCTCCATCGATCTTTGCCATCCTTCTTACCTTTTTCATCAAGGTTATGTGTTCTAAATTTTAATTATCTCATTCTTATTTTTAGTATTTCATTTTTATTCCATGAATGCATGTTATTATAAGTATGTTCGCATTAATTTTGTTGAAATACACTCAAATGCATGATTATATACATGATTTTCGGTTTTGGGTATTAATACATGTTTAATATGTTTTAGTTTATATGCTCAAGTTGATTTATGTATGATTCTTTACTTTTGTATACATGTTTTGTGTAGTAATGCATGTTTAATATTAAATTTCGAAATATGATTTAGTTTATAAATTTCTTTAGTTTGTATACATTTTTAATATGATTTAGTTTATTATATGTTTAATATGATTTAGTTAATTATATGTTTAATATGCATGACTATATTTTTTGTGTATATCTTTAATATGCATGCCTAAATATGATTTTGTCCCTCATGAAGCATGTTTAATATGATTTAGTTTATTATATGTTTATAATGAAGCATCCTCAATACAATTCTTTGGACATTATAAGGATTAATATTATTTTATCATCTATCAAAATTATTATTCCTGAATTATTTAAAAAAATAGCCCCTCATGTTATACTTCCAAAAAAGTTTAACATGTTAATTATAAATCGTTTAAACAAAATATTATTAAAAACTATATAAACTGTTTAGTAAAAACTGTTTTTATTAAACTGTTTAATACAAAACTATTTATTAGACACTGTTTAATTAAAAAACAGTTTAATAAAATTGCTTTTATTAAAACAGTTTAATAAACACTGTTTCACAAAATATTATTAAAAACTTCTGAAATAAAATAGAAAATATCAAATATAACAAAACAGTTTAATAAAAACTTTTTTTGAAAATGTTATGCTATTTTTTCGAAATTATAACAATTAAAATGTTTAAAATATGATTTATACTGATTTTTTAAAATGGCATACGAATAAATACAAAAAAAACTGTTTTTAAAGAAATTATAAAATTTGATTTTATATAAAGCATAAAAACTGATTTTTATAAAAAGAAAATTATAACAGTTTATAAAAACTGTTTTTCATACAAAAAAAGGATAAAGTTTAAAACAGTTTTTAAGTTGAAAACGGTTTTTAAGTTTAAAACAATTTTTAGGAAGTTAACATATTTTAACTTCCTAAAATATATTAAACTTCCTAAAATTTTTAAAAACGATTTTTAACTTCCTTACAAAAACTGATTTTTTTAAAGTCAGTATTAAATTATAAAAATAAATTTTAATGTCCTTATTAAAATGAATTAAAGTTAAAAAATGAATTAAAATGAATTTTATAACTTCCTTATAAAAAGTAAAAAATGAATTTTAACTTCTTTATAACTTCCTTGGAGGCAGTCGCGGAGGAGGCAGTCGCGGAGGAGGCAGTCGCGGAGGAGGCAGTCGTGGAGGAGGCAGTCGCGGAGGAGGCAGTCGCGGAGGAGGCATTCACGGAGAAGGTAGTCCAGAGGAGGCAGTCGCGGTGGCAACCGAGAAGGCCAAGGTGGAGGCAACCGAGAAGAAGATGAGACCGAAGAAGATTATCTATATGATGATTCTAGATATTATCATAATGGTGGCAGTAGGAGCTTGTAAATGATATACATTTTAATTGAACATTGTTTATTTATACTATAATTAGTCTGTTTATTATTACTTTTATTCCAGTCTGTTTGGGGGAAAAAATGTGTATTCTAGTAGTCTGTTTATTACTTTTATTCTAATCTGTTAATTCTACAATTATTTTTTTAAAATAAACTTTTCTAAAGAAAATTTGAATTTTTTTTTAATTTTTCTTTTAAAACAAAAAAACTTTTTTTTTACAAATAAAAAAATTTAGTCACGGATCTGAGCCGTGACTAAATTGTAGACCGGATTTTTTTTAAATTATTTTAAAAATTTAAAAATGTTTTTTTTTAAAAACAAAAAATATAGTCACGGATAAAGTCCGTGACTAAATTTTAAATTTTGAAAATTTAAACCCTAATATTTGGCGGTTTATTCGAAATTTGAAAACTTAGTCACGGCATAGGTCCGTGACTAATATATTCGAATTTTAAAAAAAAAAATTAGTCACGGATAGAGGCCGTGACTAAGTCGCCGGTGAGGTTATTCCGGGCACAAATTAGTCACGGATCGGGTCCGTGACTACGCTTAGTCACGGAAAAAAGGCTGTGACTAGAATTAGTCACGCCCGAACAGTCACGGATTTAGTCACGGATTTTTTCCGTGACTAGAAGAGTTAGTCACAGATTTTTTATAATAGGGTCCGTGACTAAATCCGTGACTAAGTCCGTGTTTTTTTGTAGTGATAGTCACTTATATTTAAAATGGGTAATATTTTTTGCTATCTTTTAATAATAAATTAGTTATTTGATGGATTTTAAGAAAAAGTTAAAATGGGGTACTATTACGAACACATAAGATTCTTTTTAGATCTATTGTAAGCAGGATTTAATTCAAACTTGACAGTAACATAGTCCAAAGTAAGAAAGACTGAAGTAAAATATTACTCCGTAATTAACAAAAATGAAATCGAGGATATTAAACTTCCCATATATTAAAGTACTGCTCCTAGAGAGTTAATCTTCACCGCTTCACATCTTTTCACCACGAACGCTTTCCTTACTTCTTTAAGCATTTTCTTTTAGAATCTCATCATCATCCTTTTACCCCTAGTAAGCCATCGTCATTAATTATGGAGCTAGGCAGCTGCTTAGTTTGCTTTTGTTTTTCTTTCTCGTTCCCCGTAAGCCGTAGTCATAACAATTGGTTTCCATGTCCTAAAGCTTTGTAAATTGAATTCATCCACCTTTTCACACCTAATGATTGCGTGACTTCGGCCTGTGTAATACTCCGTATACGTATGTAGTTTAAAGTTACGTTCTACATACAGTATCAAGTAATTTATGTAGATTTTAAAGCTTAAGTTTCAAAATACGTAGTTGATGGCTTGTAAAGGCTCAAAATATATAATAGAGAAAATTACCAATGTGGGAGTACAACATAGAACATATTCCAAAATAGGAGTCCTACTTGGTCAACCACGTTTGACACGGAAATTATATGCAAGTGACCATAATGCCCTTAATGAAGCTAAAGGTATTACCGTTTTGGAATCACGCGTGCTGCGGACGTGCTGAGCAGGTGGAAGTAACCGGCTACACAGGTAAAGCAAGATTTTTAAAAAACAAAAATGGGAAGCCGGCAAAACATCTCCCATTCGCGTAAAATAACAACTGCCTCCATTAAAGCGCGAACCTGGAGAACACAACCAACAGCGCACAACACTCGAGAGAAACTGACAACACTTGGCCATAGAGAGCACGAAGTGACGATTACAGAGTAAAACTTGGCCAGAAGGACGATATTTGCCTGAAGAAGGACAAACTTCGCGATAAGAACAACAGATATCATGGCTGATTCGGATTTTCAATCACATGGCCAAAAAGTCAGAATCAACAACGAAGTGGTATGTTGTACTCACTATAGAAGAAATATAAGTGTTAAAGAAATGTTAACCATGTCCATTTATGAATTTTGTAATGCTTAAATCATCATTGACAATAGAAAGTGCAAATGTAATGAAAGTTGTGTGCATGTCGTGCTATGTATTGTGTAGGTGTTGTAAAGTTGTCTGTAATGTTTATATTCTATGTGTAATAAGTGTATTAATGTCACTGATTTGAGAGAGTTATTGTAATAGTTAAATCATGTTTTATAGTATTTAAATTAGGGCAAAAGTTGCCAATGTTAATTTTGCCAAAGTATGAATAATAATATATTCTATGAGTATGGGTGAATTATGAAAATATGGCAAATATTATGCGTACAAGGTGTGTCATGACAGAGTCAATGTGTTGAATAAGAAGTATTATGGCAAACTAACTGTAATGTGGCAAAAATTGACAAATGTTAGGTGTACAAAGTGTGTCATTAAGGACTCAATGACTTGAAGAACAAGAAGTCTGTCAAATTAACTGTACTATGGAAAAATTTGACAATTATTAGGGTTGAAAGATGTGTCATCACAAAGTCAGTGACTTGAAAAAGAATTATTGTGTCAAACTACCTGTATTTTGAAATCATTGCCAAATATAGAATTGAAAGATGTGTCATGACAGAGTCAATGTGTTGAATAAGAAGTATTATGGCAAACTAACTTTAATGTGGCAAAAATTGACAAATGTTAGAGTTGTAGAATGTTTACTGAAAAAAACTGTTATCAAATGTTTACTGAAAAATAAAAGTTATTGAGTACCTCAATGATTTCCAATATTGCTATGTTTTAGACTATCTCAATCATGCAAAAGTTCCAAATATTAGTGTTTCAAATGTGTAATTAGGCAATGTTTTACAATAACCATGTGTAAGAGTGCCAAATGTTCAAATTGTGATTTTGTTTTGAATGAATGGAAATATTTAATAGTAATGAAATTTGTTTAAATACAGACTATCAGTCGCACTTGTGAAACTGGACTGCTTAGAAGTTTGGACAAGTTGAGGCTAAATGCCAATAGCAATCTAAGTGAAGTAGCAAAAAAAATAAAAGGGCAACTGAGTGAAGATGAATTAATAGCATTCAAAAACACAGTTTTTGGATGGATGCTTGACATTGAACAGATGCCAAGGTTGAGTGGGCAGTTGTGCATAGCACTTGCAGGGAGCTATATTGAGAAATTTAACAACATTGCTGAAACTAGTGTGATAAGGTTTCACATAGGAAGCAGTGTAATAAGTTTTACCAGATCAGATATGGCGTTGCTGCTAGGGCTGAAGGTTGGTGGTGACAGAACGATAGGAAATGTTCAGTTACAAGGCGATATTCAGTTACAAGGAAATTTCTGTAGAAGGCATTTTGGCAATAAGCAAGTAATTACAAGACAAGATGTGATAAGTGCTCTGGAGGCTTATAACCATGGTGATCCACACATAGAAAAGGAAGATGGTTTGAAGTTGGCACTGCTTTATGTGCTAGCACATGGTTTACTGGGACACCAAATGTCTAGACCATTACCAGCAAAGTACATAAAGTTAGTCCATGATATTGAAGCCTTCAACGTATATCCTTGGGGGGATGATGTGTGGGAGGACTTGGTTACAAACATCAATAGAAGTGCACAGGCACTGAATGCGTGTGGAGGAAATAGAGTTGCATTCCCAGGATGCATGCATGTACTTAAAATCTGGGCTTTTGAAACATTCCCGATTTTAGCTAACAAAGGGCTATGCAGCATTATTGAAGGCAGAGAAAATGTGATCCCAAGAACACTGAAATGGGCTTTCCAGAAAAAACCATCCATGGAAATCTTCTGTGACCTTATATTTGATAACGATGAGGTAATTGAAATTTATATGTTTTTAAATTTACATATCCTTAATAAATGAAGAAATCTGTAATGTAGAAATATTTGTGCTTTGTGTTTACAGTTTGAGTGGAAGAGCATAGTGCCAACTGCACAAGAGATGGAAAATATTCAAGGTGTTGCTGAAGCAAGGTTACTAGATGAAGAACTAGGATTACTGGAGGTGATTAAAGCAGATGGTAAAGAAAAGAGGAAGAATAAACAAGTGGCAGCAAAGGGAAAGGGGAAAGGGCAAACTGAGAACAAAAGAAGTTCCAGTTAACACCAAAAAGGGTAAGTTTGCAAGCACAAAGGGGAAAACACAGAAAGACAAACCAGAGTGCAGCTCTAAAGCAAGTAAAAGGAAAGCGTCAAAGGAAACTGATGAAGATGAGAGTGATGAGGAAAGTGAAGAAGAGATTTCCAAGAGGGGAGTGAAGAAAATGATGCTGAGGAGATTTGACCAACAAGTAAAACAAAATTTCAAGATGATGGCAGAGTTAAGGGATTTGAAGAACAAGCAAAACAAACAGGAGGTGATGCTAACTAAGCTGATTCGTTTGATGAAGGAACTTTCAAAGAACGTGAAGAAGATGAATACAGAAGGAAAGGCATCTAGAGCTGAAGAACTGATAGATGGCAACAAGGCTGGAAGTGAAAAGCAGACTGAAAGTATCAACAACAATGGACTTGATGCAGAAGCAACAAATGAAGAACCACCAAAACAACCACAAGTCCAGGATGAGGCAACAGACAATGTAGTCATCCCCACACCTTGCAGTGGACCCGGTTTTAAAATATCAAATATGGAAGCAGAAACAGAAGAAAGTGGAAGCAGTGAGAATGAAGGGGTCTTACAGCAAAATATTGATTTGGTAATCATAAATTAATTAATTTCAAGTTTATATTGTTCATTAGTTTCAATGCATGACATGTGTTTTATAGGACAAGAATAAGAATGATGAACAGATAGCCACAGATGGCAATGGAAGTAAAAGCACTGTAGGAGATACCGAAGAAGAGGTCCAGGTAATACATGTCATATTTTGTCATGTGAAACAATTGTATTTAATATATAATTGAGAAAAAAGCAATTAAATTTCCATTAGATTTAAATATATATGATTGTATTTAATATATAATTGAGAAGAAATGATTGTTTGTTATAGGAGAAGAGCAATGATAAGGAAGAAGAAGCGAGGTTGAACAGAAGTAGTTCTAAAGAAAATGAAAAGGTAATACAAAACCATAATTGCCAAAAAATGGCAATAGTTGCATTCTGTCATACAATATAACATCATAAATGCACTAAAATGACATAGCAAATAATTTTATTAAATTATGCAGACAAAAACTAACAGTGGAGCAGAAAAAAACAA